GGGTCATGAAACAAATTCCACCTCAAACACTCGCTCTAGCAATGCTTACGGATCGTTTAATGCACCAGGATACGCCTTAGATTTTGAATACAAATATTTTTAATCCATATGAGACGCCCCATGGGCATCAAACCATCATAACCATAGCGTCACTTAGGAGACGGGGAGCATTGTGGGAAGGATGTGGAAGGGTGAAGGATAATCACCATCTCGGGAGCAAGATACAACCATAGCGTCACTAGACCCTTAAATGCAATTCAAGAAGGGAAAATTAAAGACGTCAACAGCGGCCCCGAACAAAAAAATTGAAATCTAAACAAAAGCAAATAAATAGCATTAGGATTGGGGCCCCTATCACAAGGAGGTGGTAATCCCCCTAACAGAGGGTCGACCGACCATCATATGTCTGAACCGAACAGGTCAAGGGCGGGATGCGACAATTTGTTGTGCTAATGGGCATTGCATTGGACACCCCGCAATAGTCTCCCAAGGTTGGGCGAGCTTCAACCTCATCTGTCGAAGCTTCTGGATCCTCGTAGTATGGTGTCAGGTCAGCAATGTTAAGGATAGTGAGTTGTGGTACTTTCTTAGTAAGTCAATAATGCATGTGTTGTCATTCCAAAACACATCGAGATAGAAATATTATCCATCCACTTTTTGGCACAACCTGAGTTGGAGTTATATATAGACGTAGATTTTTCACAAAGTAACTCTCGACATATTAAATTTGTTATTTATTTCTCATTCCTCGTGTTTGATTGAGTATATCTAATAAACAAATTCACTATAGGAACTAACTTTGGAATGTAATTAGTGGGCATGCTGGACTACTTTCAATAACAACCACCCAATAGATAAATTGTTGGACATGATGTTTGACAATCCCTTCAACAGAGGCTGTCCCTTTCAGCTATTGGCTCATCAAACTCGCCATTTTTAAAACCAATGATAATCTATCGAAAGCCTCCCTCATAGGCTCAATTTGAATCACTAGCGTCTCTTCTTTGTCAACAAGAAGTTGAGACTCCTCTTTGACGTCTTCACCCTCTCCTATATCATTGTCAATTTCTTCAACTGCTCCCTACTTAGTGAAAGAAACCATTTTTATGTTTGAGCCATCTGATTCAATATGTCTAAATCCATGACACTTGAAACACTTCCTAGTTGGGACGGATTTGAGAATGTTGATTGATTCCGTCTGTTCTCAAGTTTGAATATGTTTTCCCTCAAGCTGAGTCAACTTGAATTTTCCACTGTGTGTACTCTTGTTGCTTGATCCTATGAGGTGGTGCTAATTCCAGATCTAAGATTTTCAGCATATATTTCTTGCCAAATATTTGAGGCAGTGATTCTTTATCCTTTCAATTTGATGAATCACCATTATGACTAAGGGTGACCCTTCTAGTATGTCTCTTCTCGAAGGCGGCAAACCTCTACTCTGTTTGAAGTATTTTTTACTACATATTTTCAATAGAAAGTTCTCGGACATCTCGTTGTGGATTTCTCATAAGTGATATTGTGTCATTTCCTCCCGATCAGGTTTCCAGCAATCGTCCCCTCAATGGCATAGCTTGAGTTTAGTTTTGGGAAGGTGGAGAAGGGCTTAAGGGTTGATTTCGGGTGGGAAAGAAAATTTTGGGGGGCTGATTTGAAAAATCAACAAGGGGAAGGATTTTTTGGTGGAGTTTGGGTTAAGTGACAAGATACTTTGGTAACCCTGTGGTAGTACTTAGGTTAAACGAGCTTTGATATCAAATAATGTCAGAGTTAACCAAGCAACAATAAGAAAACCAATATTATTGTTGAATTCAAATAGAATAAAACAACTAAATAAATGGAAATATAAAATTGCAATAGACATGACACAACACGTGACTAGGGTCTGTGAGGTGATGGTGATGAATGTTTGGGGTCCAAAAAGGAGGTGGTAAGGTGGGAAGTTGAGCAAGGGAGACGGATATGAAAAAGAAACAATATGTACATGTTGTCCTGGATGGCCACAAGTAGGTTGAGGGCTGGACAGCATGAAGAACAGTGGTTGGAGATGGTTCAGGGTGGTGGCAGCACAGCAAGAAACCTGGAACAGCAGGGAAAACAGCGATAGGAAGTGGGAGGAGCGGCTAATGTGCTAGGAAGGCATATACTAGAACGGGGAAGTGTGAGAAGCAACAGAGAAGGTTGGAAGTGATGGGAATGTTGGCTGGAAGGGTCGGAAGCTGCAGGAAAAAGCAGCAAGATTGTTGTTCTGAGCGGATGTAAGCAGGGAAAGAAGATGATGAGCGATAGGGAGCATTGTGGGAAGGATGCAGAAGGGTTGAGTGAAAGATAATTACAATCTCGGGAACTAGATACAGTTTGAGCACCACTTGAACCTTAGATACAGCTGTAGAAGTAAAACATCAAGACGTCGACCACTGTCTTAAAAACTCGAGCCAAAATTGGAACCTAGACATGACTGAATTAAATAACACTAGGATAATTATAAGTGAGCCCCCTCTCACAAGGAGGCGGTAATCCCCTAGCCAGAGGGTCAATCAACCCTCTTATGCCTTGACTGAATCAGTCCAAGGCAAGATGCAATAATTTATCGTGCCAATGGGAGCTGCACTGAACGCCCGCTTCACTTAGCAAGTAAAATTGGTTGATGCAATCTCACGTAAAATGGAAGCAGCACCCATGCCTTATTAAGCAAGTATAGTGGACAAGTTGAACTAATTGTCGATGCATTATGTCACTTTCATGAGTAAACTTCCCAACCCCATGTCCATCTCTCTTTTTTCTTTAGATGTTTTCAAGCCCAAGCCACCTCTTCATACAGTCAATGGACTCCATCAATAAGTTATAATCTTCGCACATTATTTCTTGTTCAAATTAATGTCATGTCACCATTTCACTCCTTTTTGTTCTTCTTGTATATTTTTGTTAATGAATATTTTCCCTTAAAAGAGTTTTTAAGGTCATCATGATCATTCACATATGCACTTCAAATGTAATATAGCCATTTTGCGTTCCTAATCTTTTTAGTAGGCCGTTCTAATTTTAAGAACATAGAGTTCTAGAGTTTTATGTTCTTCTAAATATGAATTTTCTTGTCATAATTCTAATATGAAATTTATACAAATATATTTTTAAGTGAATTGGGTCTACCATAGTTATAAAAGAACTTGTTGATGATATTTTAACATGGAGTATAAAGGATTATATCCACCAACAAATATTATATATATTCATTACATAGCACAGATATAAGAATTCAGAGGTATTAGATCTACAATAAACTTACTCTTAGACAAAAATGATAAACTACTAAATTCATTAGTGAACCTTCAGCATCATGCATTCATTATAGACAAAAAACTTAACTACCTATAGTTTTAAACACAAAACAACAGGTATTTTAAAGTGAGGACTTAATGAAGATATTTCTAGCAGTATTTTAAAATGAGGACTTGATGAAGATATTCTTTTAATTACAAAGCATGGATTTCAAAATTCAACAATCTTATATGTACAAAAAACATTGTACAAACAAAGGAGATTAAAAAATGAAATTCTTAGTGGAGCTTAGTAGCTAATTTCTATGACATGTTAACATAAGGTATTCATTTAAAAAGGAAAATGTAGGTGACCGAGTTTCAAGTTCAATAAGCAAGCATTAATAACGCCCAAGGAAAATAGCATTAATTTAAATCGAAGAGATTTTGAACCAGATTAAATTTTCATAATTTTTTTTTAATACATTACATAAGCATAGTTTGAGAAAAACCGAATGAGCTGCACGTGTAGAATCATCAAAGGCAAATTGACAAAGAAAGAGTCGACAATAAACCTCTTGAGTTTAAATAATTATTTAAATTGAGAAAAAAAATCATAAAAATTAATTTTTGGTAACACAACATTCGCTCCAGAGATGTGCAAAGCAAGAGCTTCTCAGAGGATAAAAATTCAAGTTGATCGTCTCAAAAATTATGTTATGGATTGGAGATGCAGATAGTCTCCAATCCATAATTCCCAAGGCATCTGTTAGAAGGAAAAAGAAGGAAAAAATATGTAAATCTTGGTTTCATTAAAATGTCTACATGCTTCTAGAAAATTTTGTATCCAGAAATTTATGCTCCCACTGATAACAGCTTCTCTGATGGATTTTAGGTTGTCAGAAAGAAGCTTCAGAAAGAGTTCGTACTAACTTCTTGTCTTCCAGATTTCCTCAGGAAATATGTAAAAAAACGCTTTTTACATCGGATAAAAAGATAATTATTTTGGTAGATAAATCGGCAATTTTATCGGCTACCTTTCAGCAGTAAAACCCAAAAAATAAAACGTCAAAGAACGAGAAAGAAACGTAAAGCTTCTAACTTCAATCATATAAATTTCGCCATAGAGAAAGGGACGTGACACGTTTAAATACAAAGAAGTAAGACTTAGTCCGCAGGAAAATAAAAATATAAAGCAAAAGCTACAAAGATCCGAACCCGAGGGAATGAAAGAATATAAAAATTCTTTATTTACCAACCCTAAATTACAAAAAGAAAGTAGGTGGGCTTTAGCAGTTAATTCCCCGGCGGCAACAAGACGTAAAGATCCAAACGGATACTTTGAAAAGGGGTAAGAAAATAACGTCAAAATCACAGAGATTCCATGCATTCGCACGATGAGAACAATTAAATCCTTAGCATTTGTTTAACTACCAAGATCTCAAACTCGGAGACAGTTTTGGAAGAGAAAGAAATCAAATCCTACGCCTATAATATCTCTAAAGCAAGAGAAGATGCATTTTACTAAAAGGGATGATGTGCTACAAGAGAGAAGACCTCTCCATGAAACTAGATCCCAAGCTCAGCACTCCGGATTACGCGTCAGCTTCCATTTTCCGCTTTCTCCAGCATTCAAACCCCACAAAAAAACAGGCAAAAAAGGAAGCAAGCGGCGAATCGCTCTATCCTAAACATGATGGATAAGAAACTGTGCAAAATCAAAGGAAAATCTTCTTCACCTTCTACCTGAATACCTCAGGCCGAATACGTTCTCATGTGGAATCTTCGCCGCAGATCCGAACTGGAAATCAGCTCAAGCTCCTCATACCACTCACAAGCCAGCCAACAAGAACACGAGAAGTCAAGTCCGCTTGCAATGTGGTTGGCGAACGGCTTTCAATTACCGTAAAAGTGAGAAACCCTAGCAGAGAGAAGGAGGGGAAGGAGCAGACGGGAAGAGAGACTTGGAAAATGGCAATGGCTTGAAGGAAGAGACTTGACGCAGGAAAAAGAAGCTAAGTAGAGGTACCTTTATTGCATCTTTTTAGGAAATATTAAGGAGAGCTCGAGCGCAGGGGAGACGGCTAAGGATTAAAGAGGAAAGAAAGGAAGGTTAACTGATATATATATATAAATATATATATATATATATTAAATATATGAATATATAAACAAGTTACATTTATTTTTTACTTCCATCAAGAAAAATAAATACTTATCATAATGTGAGTTTAGAATTTGGGTGCACTTAATGTTATGCAAACACACCCAAGAAAATTTTGAGAAATATATAATTCAAATCCTCTTTATAAATAAAATTTTAAATAATATCATTCATTTGATTTTTTTTTCCTTTTTTTTAAAGTAAATATTGTGCAAAGGAATAATTTATACTTGAAATATATTAAAATTATTTATTTTAATGAAAACAAATACAGATGTATATTTTGAAATATGATTTGAAAAAAAAAATGAAATATTTGAAAAAATAATGTTGGTAATGATTATTAGTGATGATGATTAGACGATGGCAAAACGATCGAGATAATGGCTGAGGTGCATGACGAACACTGGCCTACTATTTGTCTGGAATTTTAGATTTGCCCTAATTTAACAAATTTAAAATATATCATAATTACATTAAACATTTTATTTAAAATGCATTAATAATTTACCTATATTTTGTCATCATGATACTCAAATATTCAAAATACATGCATTTGAAAATGAAATATCCTCTTTGTACTTTAAACTCAAGAGTCCCAAAGAGGATAACATTTCAGATTAAAAACATGACCCTATGTTTATAGGATAAGTCAATGAGATTCGAATGAATGTAATTTTGTTGAGATGTGTTTTTATTGGTTCATTTAATCAAATGAAATTTTGATATGATTTTCTTAAGAAAATATGATATTTTTATTCTTAAATATAGGGATGATACAAAGTTTAATTAAAAATCAAAGTTTGTGTACAGTTTGATGAAGTTGGTCGACAGCAACGACGTAAGTCCCCTCTTATCCCAGGTTTGAATCGCAGACGAGACGGGTTTTGAATTAGCACATGAGGTTGGTTGAGGGCCCGCAATCCATACTTTATAAAAAATAAAAAAAAATTAAAGATCAAAATTCTAAATTTAGCGTGCCAAAATACGCAATTAATGTCAAATTTCAAATTAATTGAAATAATGTACAATATTTTTTATTATAAAAAGTCTGTTTAGTTGATCATCCTTAATAAATATTACTAAGTTATTTATAAGGAATTATTATTACATATAAATATAATGAATTTTAAATTGAATTAAACTGTTGGTTGAGCGATTTTAAAGTGGAAGCGTAACTTATTAGAAATCGCCGCAGCCGTCTCAGTCAACGGGGTCTCATTCAATGGGGTTAACGTCACCGTAGAATGAAAACGTAACTGTCGAATTAATAAGTAATTGATCCCGTTATTTTCGTAACGGCCGTTAATCGCCTGATCTGGGAAAAATGAAAATTAATGCGGGTGGTCAAAATTTTTGTAACGGAAAACGGAAAAACTGTATTCGGAAGCTCAAAATTAGTCGATTTTCTTAGGAATTTTTCGAGTGACCACCTAAATTATTCTTAAGAAAAAGAAGCTTATCAATATATATATATATATATATAAATATATATGTGTATATATATATATATGTGTGTGTGTGT